CTAGATTTTCTTTTTGCAAGTCATGATGTGTTAAATGTTAATTGTCTTCCAAGAATTTTAAGCTAGAATTGTCTCCATTCCATAGATATTGTGGTTGTGACATTGTTTACTTCAGGGCAATGCTCGGTTTTCTGATTCATTTAGATGCTAAGCGGATGATCCTGGATAAACAGAACATCAACGGGTAGACTTTTAGGGGCTGTGCCAACAGTGGATGAGTTCATTCTCAGGCTAGTCCAAGTGCTTACTCCCACTAAAGTCACTCTCCTCCCATGAGACACATTGTGGAGAAGGCTGGAGACCTAATTCATTGGATGAGGATGTTGCAATGACAATGCAAGTGTTTTGATCAGCACAGCATCTATCAATGTATCAGACTGTACTTAGAGACACATACAGGTCTTTCACTTGGATTTTTTTTTGCTCAGTATGGATGGCTGGATCAAAATCCCAGAACTCAGCATTGTGACTCAATCTACAGCAAATGGACCTCAGCAGTTCATAAAACAACTCACCATCACCATCTCAAGGGCAACTGGGGATGGGTAAACACATGCTGGTTGAGCCAGCGATGCCCATGTCATGTGGAAAAATAAAGAAAAAAAAATGAAGCGCATGATCTCTCCCCAAAGGGGTACATTTGAGTTTTGACAAGTCTTGGGACCCCAACTTGAAACATAGTTATAACTAAAATAAAAGCAAAGTACGATTGATGCTGGAGAGCAGGAATAAACCTAGAAAGTGCTGGGGAATTTCAGCAGGTCTGGCAGAATCTATGGAGAGAGAAACAGAGTTAACACTTTGAGTTTGAAGAAAAGTCATACCAGACGCAAAATTTTAACTTTTTCTCTCTCCACAGATTCTGCCAGACCTGCTGAGTTTCTCCAGAACTTTCTGGGTCACTTAGATCACGGTAATATCTCCTGCTATTTCTCTTGTCCTATTGTTTGACTGATGACTAAGAGGAGCATCTAGTTGAGATTTACTAGAATGGAGTCGGGGTGAGAGGTTATAACAATGTGGGAAGAGTGGAGGATGTGTGGTTGTTCTCTTTTAAGTAGCAGCATTTAAGGAAAGATTTGATTGGGCCAGTGGTGTTTAAAATCTTGTAGGCTTTGGAGAGAGTAAATAAAGAGGAATTGGCTGACAAGTCAGTAACCAAAGGTCATAAATTAAAGGTAATAGATGAAAAGACCAGAGAAGACATGAGGAAATGAACAGGTGACAATTTGGAATGTACTGCATGAAAATGTGCTGGAAACAAATTTGATTAAAACCTTCAAGAGGGAATTGGATATACACTTAAAGGAGAAAAGAAATGCAGGGAAATGGAGAGAAAGTGGTGGAGTAGGACTGACTGCTTGCTCTTTGGAAGACTGGTACAAACCCGAATGGTGTATTTTTTTTTAAGCACTCATAGGATGTGGAAAACACTGACTGGGCATTCACTGCGGTGGTTAGTTGCCTCCCAGAGCCACTGCAGTCTGTTTGCTGTAGACAGACCTGAATGAGCTTCACAAATTGAACCAACATGATTTGCTTGCGCAATT